TGTCAGCACTGCAGATAAAATACTGTACAGATGCACCTATTTATTATGTTCAGAAGAGCCATCCTACATTCTGTTTTCATTACCTTTCTGAACAGCCTGAAGTGAGGTATGACACACAGGCTGAGTGCCAGTAGGGGTATTTCACAACTAACCAAACATCACACAAGCAGACACAGTCACTATTACAACAGCCTGTATGAGGGCATGTGCTAATGCATTTACACAATCAAGCGTGCACACAGAGTCCAGCCAGAAAACAGACAGTGGCAAAGAGGAACCAAAGTCATACGGCATTGCTGGGGCCAGGATTTCTCTTCCCCAAAGATGCTGATTGGTCTCTTTGATTAATACTTCAGGCTTGGTCTTGGCAAGTACTTAAATTCTGAGAAAGGATTAGTGTGTTGAGACAAGTGTTTCAACTTAATAGCCCCTCCCATAATGAATCCTGACATGTGACTGTCTGGATATTGGTGATGGTAATATAGTCACTGTTCTACAACAGTATTGTTAGTGACAAATGTATTCATATTCAGAAAACTACAGTCAGAAACAGAAAAGCTATTCCAGTTGTGTTTTTATTTATGTATTTATTAATATTTGCTAATTATGCTGAGGTGTGTACTTTGTGTAATGATGGATCTGGAGGTGGAATCATTAGGTTTTTGCAACTAAGTTACCATAAGTTCACACTTACTTAGCCTAGTTTCAACATAAGTAGAATCTAACAGGTTGCACCACACAAGGTTAGCTTTTACTAAACATTTACACCAACTAACTGCCAGGTGTAACTATTTTGTAGCTAACTGAACTAACTAATGCTTGCTTATTGGCTTTCTAGTGTGGCTTTAGCTTTAGACTGAAGAGGTTGGTAATAAGAAATATGGTCTATACACAGTGTCTGAAGACTTACTAAAAAAACAGGAAATAATGATCTTAAATGCCGCATATCAGAAAGCATTACAACAATATTTAAACAACCAAATGATACTGGTTAGGTTAATCAACTGTTTGAAATTCCAGACCAAGTGTTTATTACGTGGAGATTTAGAAATCACTAAATTATAAATTAAAACGTGTTGCAACCAGGAATGGGTTCCCATGACTGGTTCGATTTAGGATCTGGTTCAAAGTTGGTAAAATACCTGGATTCTTGAAGCTTCACAGCCAAAATAATCCCTCATCAAACACATCATTCAGATCCTCACTTAAGCACAGCAGACTATCCTCGATAGTTCAGTACAATAGCTCCTATTAGTGTTAGTGTCAGGCTGCCTGGTGAATGGACTATGATCACAGTTAACATGACTGTGACTAGAAAAAGTTCGATTCTTAAAAATTATACCTTTTGTTACCCAAAATAATTTTAATTTGTTTCATCACTGTGCTGAGTGAAATAAAAACACCTTTTAAGCTAACAAATGTCCTAATCAGAATCAATAAGGGATTTGAAATGATTTGGATTTGATAAGATAATTTAGTGACTGGCTCAGATGCAATAAATTGCTATCAAACACATAAATTAGTTTTTACCTAGAGATATGTTGTTATTAAATATGTATACCCGGTAACTAAGGGTACCTGATTGCAGACAAGACAGCAGACTGCTGTGTGCAACAGGAAGTTCAATCAATCATAGTCTTTATTGCAAAGTATATTAAAATACAAGGAATTTGATTCTAGCTGACTGGCCCCAAATGTGCACCAAATAAAACAGAATTAAAAACTGAAAAAAAAAACAGAAAAAAAAGTTTAAAAAAAAAAAAAAAAAAATACAGAGGTGACAATATTAGTCAGAACTTGCTTACCTCGGGAGAATTACGGTTCTGTTTATGGTTGGATGTTAAGGTTAGGGATTTTGGTTATGTGGTGGCTAGGGTTAGTACTAGTATTCATGCAGTTTAGAAGAACTACTATGTTGATCTGACATTATTCATTTAATCTATTATCATTGGAATAAGGTTTCGTCATTTTAGATACACTGTGTTAACGTTGTGAAATATCTTTTAAAAATCTCATTTTACATCATAATTATTTTGCATTTTATGCCTACTGCATTTTATTTTGCCACTTATTAAGATGACGAATTCTGTCAGCCTTAGCCAGAAGTTGTCAACTTTTTCTTGAAGTTAGGGTTAACCTCTAATCCACACTGGAAGCCTTGTGGAAGTGTTTTCTATGCCCATCTCATGCTCGTCTCACGCTGCATATAGAATGCAATTATATTAAATGGGTCAATCCACACTGAATCTGTGCGACGCATGTCTCCCATAGAACCCTTGTGCTTTTTTTACGCTTTGTCTACTTTTTCCCCTCTGTTGCATTTAGTGAAGTGAAATCTCCACACTCAGCTGTTTAAATCATATAGCATATGTTTAACGAAACTTAGGAAGGAGTTCACACACAGCATTAACAGATTTAGCACAAACGCGTTCGTAGAACTTAACCTGATTCTAATAAGACAAAGTGATTACATTCCATATACACCATTCATGCATGAGAATGTTTTTCTCGGTATCATCCTAAATGTCAATGCAGATTTGTCTTAGATGATCTAGCAGCAATTTGAATTCTTCCAAGTATGTGTTTATCATGTCAATACTTAAATGTCAAGAACAACAAATAGAAGGAAAATTAACACTAAAACACATCAGCTCATACATATAGCTCTTGTATGAGGCTCATACAAGAAGTTACTTTATGAGCCTTCTCGTGTAGAATATTGCTGATTGGCCCTTCTGGGCAAAAACAGAAAGATCAATTTTACAGTAGCTTTGACTGACAGGGTGAAAATGCTTCATACTATGTTAGGACACAGAGACAATGCAATCTAAATGCAAGTAAAGTTTACCACTTCAGTAGTTATCCAGCTCATGAGCTGTGACTAGTAAGAGATTTACCTCGGTGACCCACCCTGTAGAAGATATTGTAGGTAGCTTCACCTCAGACACTACTGTGAACTCTCTGTTAAGGTGACAAGCAATGCTAAATCTTTGTGGAAAACATTTTGTTTTCATAACCTCTCAATGAGATCTCTCCCCCATCTCCCTAACCCCCTTCCTGGGAAAGGATTATGGGTGCATCTTTTAATTGTGCAATCTGCTCCAAATCGACTTTCAATTAACACTGGCAAATGAGAAAGCTGTCAGAGCAAAGAGCAGTGCAGACGGCAGTGTCGATCTGCGAATGTTAATTTGTGGCATGCTATTGTGCTTGTGGCTGAGGTTCAGGAAAGACAGAAACAGTTGGTAAGACAGCACTCAGTCAAGATGCAACAACTCTGATAACTTTCAAAGAGATGAATGAGATGCTTTGCAGTGTGTGCACAGTGTACTGATGGAGAAAACCCTCCCAACTTCCTCATCAGTTATCCCACTGTGTCACAGAGGGTCAATATGTCTTTGGCTGTAATGCTTTGGCCTCAACTAAAGATCAAAAGCAGAACTTGATATTAGTCTGCTAATTGGCCCTGAGGGTTTGTGGGAACTGTAGTAAAATTACAGATATTGCCTTTATAACATATCAGTTGATACGTACATAGATACTCTTGGTTTTACTCACACAAGCGCACAAACACCCTTTACTCTCATTCCTTTTCTTGTGATGCCCCTCTCATTTGCTTAACCCTCAAAAAGGTGTTTCACAGAAGTGAGGATCAGCTAAAATGCCCTCACTTTCCTAAAATGTTCTCACTCTGTAGCAAAAAACAAAAACAAACAAACAATCAACTCCCCCAAAAAACAAACAAAAAACAAAATAACTTTTTTGGCCCTTACTATGTAGCAATTACAAAACACACAGACACACATATTTACCTCTGGTTACCCAACAAGGAGGCTAGTGAAGTACATGGCTGTGTGTGATGGTGGAGGCAGGAGTACAAACAGCTGGTCAACGGGCTTTTACGCATTCTGCCCCAGGAGACCTAACCCCTGTAGGGTCAAAGGGCAGAAGAATTGTGTGTGAACCCTTGATAGAAGGTGAGAAGTGCAAATTTTAAGCACAACCCCCAAAAACTCATAGTAGTGATGGTATTGAGTCTGGATAAAAAGTAAAGAATATTTTTCTTTTATTAGGCAATAGTAATTTGTATTTGCTTGTTTATATTCACACAAATTTGTACAAATGAAAGCCAAGACAGAAGATGTAATCACCTGTAGACATATCTGTACTGAGTTTAATTTGCTAAATGCCATGTTTCATTTTACTTTATCTTGAATACAAATGGTACTAGTTGTGGAAACTAACTAAGCAACAGTACACTCTTGTAAATAAGATTTTTAATCTCAGTGAGGTTCTCATGGTAAAGATTAAATAAAGAAAAATAAAAGCAGGTACATTTACCAATGTACTGTACTTGAGTATAATTTTGAGGTATCTATACCTTACTTGAGCATTTTTATTTTGTGCTTCTTCATACTTTAACTTCACCACATTTGAGAGGCAAATATTGTAGTTTTTACTTCAGTACATTTTTTTTATAACTAATTACTAGATATTTTTCAGAAATCAGTTTAACTAAATATAGTATAATCATTTGAATTTATTGATCCTATAGTAGCAAATTCACGAACTACCTAACAATAATTCAGATTATAAGGATAGGCCTAAGGTAGTTTAATTACCTCCACCTTTACCAGCTGCAACATTCAAGTGACAAAAACAATAATGCATGAATAACTATAATCATATAATATGATATGCATTAATGTTAGATGTGCCAGTCGGCACGAGTAGCCTACTTTTACTTTAGGTACTTTAAGTATATTTTTATGCTAATACTTTTGTACTGTAGCGACATTTTGAATCCAGGAGTTTTACTTGTAACAGAGTATTTTACACTGTGTTATTGCTACTTTGACTTAAAGAATCCGAGTAGCCTCCTTGTTCCACCACTGAATTCTACCAGTACTACTTGTGCTTCTGATGCAATACCATATAGCGCAGGAATCAAACCTATACGAACAGGACGGCTGAGGTTCGCCCTGTTGCCTAGATACGAACGCGGAGGGTGGCGCATTCTGTAGTCCTTCTCTAAATGAAACTGGCTTTTAGTAGAGGACATTGTGGCTCTAAGTTTTATGTGCTATCGATGAATGACCTTCGTCCTGTTTGAGCCCAAATGTCTCCATTCTCTCTGACGCTGTTGAAGAACTAGACGTGAAAACAGCGCCATTTCTGTCGGCGTCCATGATACGTGATGCTACCGCAGCGGATTCCAGAGCTCGAGCTCGGAACGGCAGCGGGAGAGAAATAGCCGCTCCTCTTTCGCTGGTCCTCTGTACTTCAACACACGGCAGGTAAGTTAGCCAGCGAACCGACTAGGACTTTTCTTTTCCTTGGTGTTTTGTCTCCGTTTACAGTTTCATGCTTAGTGATGTTACTGTTTGCTGTGTGGTATGGCGCACATTTTTGAAGGGAAAACGTCTGACAGTCCTATGGTACCCTACCGGGGCAGCTGCTCCTCCTTCCCCTCGGTCACAACAACAAGCGTACACGAAAGCTAACATTAGCTAGCGTTAACGTTGTTTCGGTTTGAATGGGGTACATCGGCTATAATGTAATGGCTTTTGACTATTTCGTAACGTTATGCTATGTTGCGGAAAGTTTAGACTTTGCTTGTTAACGTTGCGGTTTGCTATGCTAACGTTATTTAATGGAGAACCTTCGGGTCTCTAATGTCACCGTTCACCTGCTAGTCACATACCAAATTAACGCTAACATTAGTCTTTGCGGGGCTAGGGGACACCATAATTAAACTCGTATATCTTGCATCATCTGTACGATATATGCTAGGTACTAGTAACACAACAGTAAACTACCTATAGATTGAAGACGGGCAGCTAACTTGACTAACTTAGCTCATTAGCTAAAGGTCGGGGGTCCAGCTAACCTTGCCTTTGGACTGCTAAGTGACATTAGCTAACTGACGTTTATACCACAATTTTGTCTAACGTTAGCTGTTGCCAATCAATCCTATTATATATTATTATAGCAGTGGCGTTGTCAATTAATCTTAAATATTGTTGCTGCCTGTTCTGTAGTTGCATTGCCGAACTCGATAGCCCAGCAATGTGTCGACGTAAATGTCAGTAAAGCAGGCAAATCATTATTTCCATAAAGTTACAGCAACTTAACCCATTGGTAAAACAGGATAACGTTACTCGCTACTTCATTCTACACTACCAGTATTATTTTGTTCCTTTTCAACTCGGATAAATTGCCTTAAGTAATGGGTTGTAGAATAAAGTTTGTATGTGGACAGTGCAGTCATTAGCAGCCGGGTTTGTATTTATACAAGAAACAGCTGGGTTGTAGACAGTGGTCAGCCATATTTAGCTGTTATCGATGAAGCTTGCTAACGTTTTAGATGTTGTGCATCTGTATTTATTCAGCGGGCACAGTTTTATTCAGTGCAAGACTGTCGAAATTGTATGGTCACATATTAGAAAGATTGTTACGATATCTACCTTTTGACGTCTTAATGGATGATATGCCACTGCGGAGTGACGACCGGGTCAGCCAATCAAATCGGTGTAGCCTCCATTTGCTCTTCGCGTCGGTTCCCTAATCCACTGCTGCCTTATGAAACACACGCACTTGACAGTGAGCCTATATCTGCCCCTAGCTCACACATTTATACTCGGATGCCGGTTTTCTTCCTTGTTTTGTCATGGACGTAGTTACTTTCATTGCTCACCATACAGCTGTTGATTTTCGTGATTGCAATGGATAAGAAGTAAAAGCAATCAGTAGATTAGTGCTTCCTGGTTTAGGAGTATTACAAAGCCGTACTGTCATTCAAAAAGTCTTTCAAAAAGTCTTCGTTAGCTGGGCAATATGACAAAAGAAATTAAATCTCACTTTTACATTTTTTTCCAGTGTTATGCACGAGTCAGGACTTCAATTGATTTTTTTTTTCGTCTGTCCACAGAAGCTCAAGGCAAAACATGCTTCAGAACTAGATTTTCTTTTTCCAAAAACTGTATGCTGTTCCCCAGTAACTATGACCATATGTGCAATATCAAATATCAACAAAAAAAAAAATGTCATTAGCAAGAGGCTTTTTATTTTTTTAGATATTGTAAACAATGTAAAGAACAACACTAGGAGTGGCCGTCCAACAATTATTTAAAAAGTATCACCTGCAAGGGTGTCAATATATGTTCTATTTGTTAATGCATGAAAATAATTTTCAATAAAATTAAGCACCACTTGTGGGCAGTGAATGGAGAAACACGTCTCAAAGAGGTTTATGAGCTTCCTAAATTAAACTGCAACAGGTTTGTCAGGCTGTCACTTTTGGTTCAAATCAGGTTTTTACTGACTTAACTGTAAACTTTACACAGCATGGCGATCTGTTCATGTTAGAATTTGCAAAACCATTTTTATTTTGTCATATTCATGCGAGGGTGCTGGGATGGGCACGGAAGGGCCTTACAGAAAATTTAAGTTTCATTTGTATGAAATTAATGGTAGTGGATGGGTTAAATAAGCTGGTGTAGGAAATGTTCTCCTGTTTATTTACTTTTTTAAAAGGAATATATAGGTGGTAAAATGAGTGAGCTCATGCCTTCATGCATTTTTAGAGAATATAAAAAGGCCTTTTTTCTTGCAGTTTAGCTCTATAGAGGGCAGTGCAGGGGAATAAACCAAGTCTTTGACTCTTTTATTTCAAATACTTGTATTCACATTGAAAACATTTCAGTGAAACTGATGCATGTTTCTGCTCTTTCAGGTTGTGCCGGTGAAGTAAGGCGTAGCCCCAAAATGGACCCCTCCGACTGAGATGCAGGCACGTCTTGTGTTTTGCTCAGCAGCTGAGATCTATCAACAGCATAAGCCATGCCTGATGAGTAAAATCCCAGTTTTTGCTTAAAGCAATAAGAAAGGGAAAAAAGTTCTACATGCCTCCCCATGTAGAACCCCTTCAGTGCCTCTTGCTGGAGTGACTGTGCCCTCTTCCAGAAAGTTTTGCCTCATCATCATTCTCCACTGATCACCCTACAGTAACTACCCGTCGCAATGCTGCTCCACCTGAGAATGTCCAACACCTGAGGTCCCATGCGTCCAGTGAGCACCGATTCAGACGGTCCCACTCCTCCTAAAAGCCTCTCTTGCCCTTATCCCCTTGTGGGCCCCCTGCCTGCCTCAAAGATGTCCCTGCTCCAGTCGCTCGGCCCAGTACAAAGCTGGCTTGGCCAGGAGCTTGAGAAGTGTGGGATTGACGCCATGATTTACACCCGCTATGTCCTCAGCCTTCTCTTGCATGATAGTTATGATTATGACCTGCAGGACCAGGTGGGCTTCTGCAACCTTACAGGAATATTTGTTGCCATATCAAAACCTTCAAAAATTGTTTGTCCAATGAGTGGGCAGGGGACTTAAACCATAAGGAGACATTTGTGGTGTATGGTTTTTTTGTTTTTTAAAACATCACAGCTTTTGTACCACTGACAACTTGATTTGTGTTACTTGCCATTACATTTATTATCATGCATTGTTCTGAGTTTTTGTACAGACTGTTACTGCACATAAACCTGTATCTGCTTAAGTGTGACGTAAGGGCAGAAACACACCAAGTCAATGTCAAAGAACTAGTGCCAGAGAAGGCCAACTGCTGCGCTGCTGCGTTGCTTCACATTGTTTTTGCCTGGCTGAAAAATTGTTTCTGGCCTAACAACTTTCTACTTCCAGATCCAGACTCCCCCAGACCCAAATGGCAGAGCCTTTGACCCTCTACATAAAATAGCTTTTCTTTTCCTTTTTTTTTTTGTGAGGCAGCATTGTGAGCAAAAAACATAACAGTACTAAATTCTGTCCACTCAAATATGGTAGTCAGTGTAGAGTTTTGTCCGAACAACACTGTGGGATATCGAATTGGGAATGAACCAAAATTTGGACCTGGAAGCGGAATGTTACGTCACTACTTAAGTAGTGAATAGAAATGTTGATACACATTTATATACAGCATATTAATCTGTAAATGGTTTTTCCTGTTAGTTTTTTAACAGTCTTTGTCCACTGTGACTGACTTTACTTGGTTTGTATCTGAAAGGAAAATGACATCTTTTGGGGCTGGGAGAAGGGAACTGGGAAGAAATGGGGCAAGACTAAGAAGAAAGGAGGGACTGACCTGAGTCTGGAGGAAATGAAGAAACAAGCTGCTGTGCAATGCCTTCGCTCTGCATCTGATGAAGTAAGCATCCTTTGGCAGTATTTATCACAGAATTAGATTCTACTTATGGTTGCAGCTTATTAAATATAGTAATACTATATTAGACTGCCTCTGTACTGTTCATATAGCCTGTCCCTCCTGCACTAGCTGCATCTCCCCCAGTGGCAGTATGTTGGCTGTTGCCCTCCTCCTCTCCCACCATACATCTCTCTTGGCACTTCAGCAGCACAAGTAAATATTCTAAATAAATCATTTGGATTGGCAATCACACTGGTCGGACTGATCAGCTTTCACGTGTGTTTTTGGAGAGATGGAGCTGTTCACAGACGGTCCACCATGTTTGTATTGGAAAGAAATGGAGCGTGGCACAGAGGGACTGAGCAAACACATACACTGCACTACAATGAAATAAGATTTCATCTACATTTTTTAAATCAATATGTGGCCGTCAGTGTTGATATTGTTCCCCCCCCAAACACACACAAATAAGTTAATGTACAGGAAACACTGCTTTGCCTGATTGTTGTGGTATACATTATGCATAGTCTGAGTCAAAGTATGCCTTTTTTGGATCATGTAAAATACCAGTTATCTTGAATCACTTTCACATTCAGGGAATGCACACCTTGCATTGAACCAGGAACTGTCTGCTCTGCCTTGACTTTTATGAAGCTTTTGAATAAAATGTATGCCAGAAATACTGAATAGAGAAGGGATGAGGATGTATTTTGTCTGATTATGTCAGGAATCTTTTGCTATAGTATGTTGTTGCCTATTAAGGTGCAGATATTAATTTCATGAGTTGTGGTGAATAATGAATAAAACTGTCAATGTGGATGACAATGTGCATTGACATGGGAAGATCTTTTATAATAAATTTATTGTCACCTCATTTGCTGGGTGGCCACACCTTGTGCATACCCTCATGTGCACATTGACACAGATGAGGGGCGAACACACATTCCCATTCATACTTTAAATCAAGGGTCTGCCTTCTGTCCTCATCTGGCGATGGTTTTCAAGTATTGTGGTATGTGCTGTTGGGGCTTTTGGTGTGTGGACCACCTATGCCTGCATGCTGATGTCTGAGCAGAGTCCACATGGCCAAGTGAAGATGACAAAAATTGTGTTCATCATACTTGGCAGACATGGGGACACATGAAAGCATGAATTTGCTCTTAGAAAGGCTATATTAAGGTATGTTGCTTGAAGGTTGTTTACACAAACCAGTGGTATTCTCACTTAGATTGCATGACCTTCAAATGGATGTGATTTGCATGCAAGTATCTCTAAAGAAATATAGTTTGTATTGTAGGCCTCTTTCTGAAAAAGCCAGAGATATTTCCTGACATTTTGTCTTTGGCCAGCAGTAGTAGGAGAGGTGTGCTTTAGTTGAGAATGATGCAGAGCTGGAGGGAGGGTAGGGGGAAGGGTCTGCAAGGCAAGAGGAGGAGTGTTGAGCTCGTCTCTGGGGATTATACTCTGCAGTCTATTTTTTAACCAGCACACGCTGCATGGGATTGCAGCAGTGAGTAGCGTAGTGGGTCGGCTGTCAGCTGACCAGCATTAGCACAGTGATGCAAGAGGAAAGTTGGGGCAAGAGAAAACTACTTTGCTTTTCATGAGGTGGCATGGTAAGTGATTTTTTCTGCAAGAGTGAACAGGAAATGATTGGCAGGACTGGTACTGAGGAACAACTATGTTTAGATTGTTTCAGGTTATTTGTTTTGACAGTGCCTATTTAGTATAAGCTTGTCTTGTTTATTTCAAACCCTTACTGTTTGTTTTTCACATCTCATTATTTATCTTAAGAAGGCCATAAAGTAAATAGAATGTCTAGAAAATGTTGAGGGTGTTAGAACATTGGGAATTAATTACTTTTTAATTTTTATTTATTTGAAGGCCTTTCTGGACCATAGCTAAATATAGCATAGTTGTGTTCAAGCATGTCTAAGCTCTCAAAAGTCAGCTGGCTTAATGTGTGTCAACCTTGCGACTCATTCTTTCTCTTGGGTAACATTAGGGGTCAAAGTAGCTTTTGTTGCATTCTTACCTAAGGCTGCCAGATCTTTCAGCATCAAAGATAAAATAATTTTGTGTTTGCATCGTTTGTTTTTTTTTTTTTTTTTTTTTTTTTTTTTTTTTTTAATTATGCAATTTCTAGGGCTTGTTAAATGCTGGTGCGTAATTTTGTGAAATCAACCGATCCTTATAATCACCACAGTGTAGTACTAATAATACTCTTACTCTTGATTACTTTTGATTGACATTTTCATAAGTTAGTTCTTAGATGTGTACATTTTTCATGTCTGTTTCTGAGCATACAGTCTTCACCAAATATGTTTGTATTTTGAAATGTGTCAAGACCAATTCTGTTGTTCAAGCTCCACATTTTGTCACAAATATATGTTAACATCAAGTAATGAAATTAATTACATGATAATGTTTGGTTGTTCACAATATTTACTCTGATAGTAGTATTTTGTAACTGGTTACAAATTGGACAGTATGTAACTCAAATCTGATCTGTTTCTTGCTTTCTTCCACCATCCAGAACTCTGGAATTGAGAGCTTGGTTGAAGAGCTTTGCTCCAAACTTAAGGATATCCAAAACAAACAGAAAGGTTTGTTTGATTCCCTTAATGATTCTATAATAATGAGCCTTTTGATTATACATATATAAAGTTTATTAATAGCTGTTCTAATATGACCTCTGTGACTTACTGTTCAATGTCTTTTACAGAGGAAAAACAAATTCAAAAGAAATCTGATGGATCTCAGTCTCCAGAACGAGCCGAGTCCCCCTCTTCAAAGGACCAGGTGGAAATGTAAGCTGCATCACTGAATGGACCTGTGGTGTTGTGATAACAAAGTGCCTGTTGATACATTTGTATTTACCTGTTTATTTGAACCCTACTGTTATAAATACATTTGAGTCAAGTTTTCCCTTTGTCTGTTGTGACTGCAGGTATTATGAAGCCTTTCCTCCTTTATCAGAAAAACCAGTTTGTCTTCAAGAGATCATGACGGTGTGGAACAAGGCTAAGGCCTGCACCTACTCAAGTTCATCATCCTCTGCAGCTCCACAGACCAGCACAGATACCTCTTCCCCTAAAGATTGTAACAGCGAAGGTGAGGCTGCAAAAGAGCGACACCATGAGGCATGTGGTACCGACACTATTGTGACCAGTGAGAGAGGACACCAACGACGGAGCAAGAAGGAGAAAGAAAACCGATGCCATGGGGGTGCAGCAGCGGAGGAGAAATCTTCTGTCCACTCCAAGAGACAGACAAGGCACAGGTCTGAGGGCAAATACAGACCCAGATCCTGGTCTTCTGGGTCTAGTGAGGCAGGCTCAAGCTCAAGTGGGAACCATGGTGACTCTAAATCATCCAGAAGCAAGGCTGTTAGAACAAGGCACAAATCCAGGGAGGCTGCAAAGAATAAGAGAACACGCAACAGTGGGCAGGTGAAGCTGCAGGTGAAGGTAATTGACAAAGAGGAGCGAAGAAACGCAGGAGGGAGCAGTAGCAGTGCCACTGGAGGCACAGCCAAACACCCACAGCTTTACAAAAAGGGGAAAAGACCGCTGAAGGAGATTCGTAAAGATTCAGGCTGGATGGAAGCAAAAGAGTCTGGCGTTGAGGCCAGAAACAAAAAGGAATACATGGAGGAGCCACTTTGGTACACCGAGCCCATCACTGAGTATTTTGTACCTTTCAGCAGCAGACAAAGCAAGCTGGAAACAAAATATCGAAGCAAGGTAGATTCTCCAGATAGCTTTGCATTGTCAACTGACTTGGAGAGTTTGCCGGAGAGAATCCAGGGAATCTGCATTGCCAGTGAGAGTTACCAGAGAGCATACCTAGCAGCTGGCTCTTTTGTAGATGGACACTTTGTGGAAGGGCCCGGCGAGGCAGAAGATGAAACTGCTGAACTCATTGGGACCTCAAGCTGCCTTCAGCCAGAGGATAGTAAAGATTTAGATGACAAGCATCTGTCTGAATACACTCACTTCTATGAAGTTGATATTTATCAATCCATATTGGATACTAGTGCCTCAGACTCAATACAAGAGAGTCGGATCTTAAGCATGATTCGACAAAAAAGCAAAGAGCAAAGAGATGTTGAGGCAGAATGTTGTTTAGTGTTAGATGGCCTTGAGCAGCAAGGGAAAAGTGCAATACGGGCAGACTCACAGGAGGCTTTGGGATCTGTTGGATTCTTAATGGAGGATCTTGGAAATATGGCTCAAGTGTGGGGATGTTATTCACCATCTACTTCAGAAGATATAGATGGAGAAAGCTTCACAGGAGACTCCCCCATTCGGCTTTCCCCGCTTCTTGATAGTGTTTCATTCACCCTGAGCAAACTTTCTGGAAATCTGGAAGAGCCACCTGTTCCTGAAGCCACCAGTGACCCATCTGGTTTGAATTCATCCTGCTTTTCTCTTTTTGAGCTGCAGTATGACAGCCCCACTTTTCCTTTTCCCCGTGACTCACTCACAGTTGGTCATGAAAACAACACAGATTCGAGTAGCTGTCTTGACTTGCATTCTAATAAACAGTCTCGTTTGCTAATATGGACCAAAAATAGTGCCTTTGATGAAACTGAACACTGTTCTAACCTTTCAACACGAACTTGCAGTCCGTGGTCACATTCAGAGGAGACTCGTTCAGATAATGAGCAAGGAAATGCTCCGACAGAGGATGCTGCTCAAATTGGCAACAAAGAGGTAGACTGTATGATCCGTCCTCTCTCTGGTACCTATCTAGAGGATGAAATTTTGGATTTTTTGCAAGAAGACTCTGGCCCTAAATGTGAGGGGGTCAGGGTTAGCACAGTATCCAATCAGACCTTCTCAAAAAAATCTAAATTGGAGTCAATTTGTGGTATAGCATTGGAAGAGGATGAGAGTAAACAGTACAGCACTGGCATGTTTTCTGACAACACAAACCAACAGAGTGATGATTACAGCTCAGGGATAATAAAGGACATCTGGACTGCAATTGGAAATGGCAAATCTGTAACGTCAAGTCAAGGAGCAGAAAAACCAAGTGAGGGGCTATTCTCAGATGAGTCAGGTGGTTACTGCTGCAGCTGTCTGGAGGTACAGGCAAAAGGAGTTCCAATCCAGGGACCTGAGAAGAAAGCAGTTCAGCGGTCAGAGTATCATCTTTGGGAAGGTAAGAAAGAAGAACAGGACTTAGCCAAAAACAAACTTTGCAAGATAGATGGTGCTGGTGATTACATGACTCCGTCCAAGCCCTGGGATTTAAGCTCTGACAAAGAGAGTACATCATTCATCCTTGGAGGGGTATATGGAGAGTTGAAGACATTAAGTGGTGATAAGAATTGGGCTGTGGTGCCACCAAGTGACACCCAAGATAGTTTGCTACAAAGTGCCGCCGCAGCTGCTTATGCTTCTAGCTCAGACATGCTTACCATCACTGGCACAGATGTGTTGATGAACACGAGCAGCTGCTTTGCCCCTGGGCATAGGCCCCTGTGGAGGCCTCTTGTGTCCTTTGGGCAGAGTGACCAGGCTATTAAAGGAGGTGGAGATGGACTAAATAAGGGATTTTCTTTTATCTTCCATGAAGATTTGCTTGGATCTTATGGAGGCTTGCATAGTGAGGAGCAAGGTTTAGAATACCCATTTGCATCCTTCAGTCTAAACAATCCCTTCTCTCAAGTCCTCCATGTTGAGTGTTCTTTTGAGCCTGAGGACATGGCTTCATTCAGTCCAGGGTTCAAGCCCAAATCTATCCTTTGCTCGGACTCTGAGAATGAAGCCTTCCACCCGCGAATATATGGCATTAACCGGACGCAGTATAGGGCCATTCGCATTTCCCCCAGGACTCACTTTAGACCAATATCTGCCTCAGAGTTGTCTCCTGGTGGAGTAAGTGATTCAGAGGCTGAGACTGACAAAGAGGAGATGAGTTTTCCTGTCCTGGCACCGGTGGACGTCTTTGATGATCCTCAGGCAGACCTCAAACCTCTGGAGGAGGATGCAGAATGTGAGGGCCCGTATTATGGGAAGTCAGAACTGGAATCTGGTAAATTCTTACCCAGATTAAAGAAGTCTGGCATGGAGAAGAGTGCCCAGACCTCTTTGGATTCACAGGAGGGCTCCAGTACCCTCCTGCCAATCGCTGAGCAAGAGATTTGCTTAGACTGCAAAACGGCAGCAGCTGCATCAACTGCAGGTGAACAGACGGACGCCTCTGTCAGCAAGATTCAAAGAGACGAATCTTCAGGAGAGAAACAGTCCTGCGTATGTGCAATCCCCAAGTATGGGATTGCTTATGACTTTGTTGGAGATGTGCCAGAGGTAAGGGTTTCTTTGAAATCATTTGATTATCACTATGCAAGAGAATTGAACAAAAATACTAACCTAAACATACAGTATTTTATGATCCATTGCCAGCTGAAACTGGGTTCCAAGTGTGATGTCTCAGATGGCTGTTTAATGAAACACACTAACCACTTTCATTTGTCTTGTTTAGTTCCCTCTGTTAAATATAAATGGACAGGGAAGAACTGGCAACCAGCAAGATGAGTGCTGGTGGCAGAACACACTCTGTTCCCCTCTTTTCCCTGGATCTCAATGTACAGGTAAACCTTGTTCAATAATGTACTTTTGTCTTTTTCCATTTTATTCACAGTACTTTGGCAACACATTGTACCAGTAGCAAATTGTTTTGTCTTGCAGATTTTCACAGCTTTTAGAATTTTATCTACCAGTCAGTGCCATATATGAAGTTTGTGTACTTGTATTGATGAATGAAATAATCTTATCACAGCTACAAAATACTGTAAAATGAATGGTAGAATGAATTTTACAGTATTGTTTTGTAGCTGTGATAAACAATACTGTAAAATGAATGGTAGAATGAATTGAAGTTACAACACATAACATAGCAATAACAGTGATAGCCTAAATGTAAAGCCCATACACACATTACAGAGAATTCAATTCATTTTTATTTGTATAGTGCCAAATTGCAACAATAAAAGTATCAGGGCATTTTACATGTTAATGTCTAGACCTTACAGTGGCCCCCTTGTTGACAATGGGGAGGGGAAAAAAAACATGGTTTAGGCTACAGAAAGAAAGAA